TGGTACTGCTGGGAGTGCTGAGCCTGGGGGTGCTGAGCCTGCGGGTGCTGGGCCTGGGAGTGCTGGGACTGCGGGTGCTGGAGCTGAGGGTACTGTGCCTGAGAGTTTGCCGCCTGGGGGTGCTGAGCCTGGGGGTGCTGCGACTAAGGGTACTGAGCCTGCGTGTGCGGAGTCTGGGGGTGCTGAGTCTGGGGGTGCTGAGCCTGCGGGTACTGAGCCTGGGGGTGCTGCTGCTGAGCCTACGGAGCCTCGGGTTGCTGCGTCTGGGGGTGCTCCGGTTCGGGGTGCTGAGCAGTCTCTCACACCGCAGCAGCTTCGTGACTGGTACGTCCGGCGCTTCCGCCGTCCTCGTGGCTCGGCTGGAGTTTGGGATGCTGGAGCTGCTCGTCCTGGGGGTACTGGAGCTGCCGGGACTGGTTGTTCTGGGAGCACTACGACTGGAGCTGCTGGAGCTGGGGACTCTGGCGCTGGCGGTGCTAGCGGAGTTGGAGCTGCCGCCTCTGGGGGTACTCTTCCTAGCGGTGCTGCGGACCCTGGGGGTGGCGCTGCTGCTGGTGCTGCGGACCCACCTGGTGGAGCTGCTGCTGGAGCTGAGGACCCGAGCGGTGGCGCTGCTGCTGGAGCTGAGGACCCGGACGTTGGAGCTCCTGCTGGTACTGAGGACCCGGCCGCTGGAGTCTCTTCTGCTTCTGGAGACGCTGCGCGGCCGCGACCGTACTTCGTACCGCTCCTTCAGCAGGTTCTTGGGCAGGCTCCTCCTCCTTGTCCTCCTCCCTCCGTCGAGTGTCCTCCGCCTGTCCAGCCGCAGTCACAGTTACCGCCTACCTCGCCTCTCCCTGCTCCCTCTCCTTACACTGGTCCCACAGGAGGTCTTGCAGAGCGTCGTGAGCCTGAGTCTCATCCTGCGTCGCCTGTCCGTACTGCTCGCACTGGTCGTCGTGTCCGTCGTGAGCGTCCTCCTCCTGTCCCAGGCACTCACTACATGACTCTGCGTCCCTCTACTGCTCCTCAGCGTGTCCCTCTGCCGTCTCCTCCTGCGTCCTCTTTGCCTGCTGTTCCGGACCCTGAGTCTGACCGGTATCGTGCTGAGCACCCTACTGTCACGCGTCTCCTAGCTACTGTTGTCACTGACCCTACCTTTGAGTCCTCGGCTGCGTCTGCTCTGGTCGCTGAGTTGGTTGACTTTGCTGCTGCCTGTCGTCTAGACTACGCTGCTCGCCTTGTTGCTGGGTCTGAGTCTGCGTCTGTCTGTCCTCCGTCCGTCGGGGGTGAGTGTGCTCTTGGCACGGACGTCCTTGAGGACAGGCAGGAGGACTTTGACTCTCTCGCGGCTGCTGTACCTCATCTCGTGGCCTCGTTGCTTGCCCCTGAGGGAGACCCGGATGCACTAGACATCCCCACTCTGCGCACTTACGCAGAGGCGATCTCGGGTCCCTACTCCTCTCAGTGGCAGACAGCCATGGACGCAGAGATGGCATCCTGGAAGTCCACAGGCACCTACGTCGACGAGGTTCCCCCTCCTGGGGCGAACATCGTCGATGGCATGTGGATTTTCAGGGTGAAGCGGCCGCCAGGTTCTCCGCCTGTCTTCAAGGCTCGTTACGTTGCTAGAGGCTTCAGTCAGCGTCAGGGGGTCGACTTCTTCCAGACCTTCTCCCCCACCCCGAAGATGACCACTCTTCGGGTTCTGCTGCACGTTGCTGCTCAGCGTGACTACGAGCTTCACTCTCTTGACTTCAGCACAGCGTTCCTGCAGGGCAGCCTGCACGAGGAGATCTGGCTGCGCCGCCCACCTGGCTTTACTGGGTCGTTTCCTCCTGGTACCCAGTGGAGCCTCCGCCGGCCAGTCTACGGTCTCCGCCAGGCGCCACGCGAGTGGCACGACACACTGAGGACTACACTTGCGGCTCTTGGGTTCGCGCCGTCTACTGCTGACCCGTCGCTGTTTCTGCGCACAGACACGTCGCTGCCGCCGTTCTACATTCTCGTGTACGTCGACGACTTGGTCTTTGCTACTGCTGACACTGAGGCACTCGCTCGTGTGAAGTCGGAGCTGCAGAAGAGACACACCTGCACTGACCTGGGTGAGCTGCATAGCTACCTTGGCTTGCAGATCACCCGTGACAGAGCTCGCCGCACCATCACCCTGACTCAGTCACACATGGTGCAGCAGGTCCTTCAGCGCTTCGGCTTCCAGTTCTCCTCACCACAGGCCACACCTCTGGCTACCAGCCACTCGCTCTCAGCTCCACCTCCGGACGAGTCCGTAGAGCCGAGTGGCCCGTACCCAGAGCTTGTGGGCTGCCTCATGTACCTGATGACTTGCACGCGACCTGACCTCGCGTACCCTCTTAGCATCCTTGCTCGTTACGTTGCGCCTGGGAGACACAGGCGAGAGCACTGGGAGGCTGCTAAGAGGGTGCTGCGCTACTTGTGCAGTACATCAGGCATGGGGCTGGTGCTTGGAGGACGCGACAGAGTTGTCCTCACTGGCCACTCGGACGCTTCTTGGGTGGACGACCTGGCTACGCAGCGGTCGTCACAGGGTTACACCTTCAGCCTTGGCTCTGGTTCTGTCTCGTGGCGGTCCACCCGCTCTTCCTCTGTTCTCGGCTCTAGTTGTGAGGCTGAGATCTACGCCACAGCCATGGCTGCACAGGAGTTACGCTGGCTCACCTACCTGCTGACTGACTTGGGAGAGCGGCCTAGTTCTCCTCCAGTTCTGTACGGTGACAACAAGGCGGCTCTTGCCTTGTGTCAGGAGCACAGACTGGAGCACAGGACGAAGCACATTGCTCTTCGCTACTTTCTTGCTCGAGAGCTTCAGCAGCGCGGTCAGCTTCGGCTTGTGTACGTGGACTCGAAGGCCAACACTGCTGATATCTTCACCAAGGCGCTCCCGCCTAGTGATCATCAGCGGCACTGTACTTCTTTAGGCCTTGTGTCCACGTTTCCTCACTTGCTCACTGCTTGACATTCTTTGTACTGTACTTTATATATATATCTTGTTACTTGCTTGCTAGGTTTTGATCACTGTATTGCTTGTCTTGTACTATATCTAGCACTGCATGTGAACTGGCCTTGTGGCCTTTACTTGTGCTCGGAGCGTGGTGACGTTGTGATCCACCCTGGGCTTTGCTTTGCTTTGCTGGACTGGTCTTGTGACCCTTTGTTCTCCCCCACTTTGCCTATGGGGGTGTGTTAAACTGTATTATGCTTGTAGGCTGTAGTGGGGTAGCCAATATGGGGTACAACCCCAACTAGGGTTTCATATTTGTACCCAAACTTCTGCTAGTTCATTCATTCTTGCCTAGTTACTTTGAGAATCCTTTGGGCGACATTTTAGTCGACTCACACAAACACTCATCCTTTGGGCGACATTTGAGTCAACTCACACAAACACTCATCCTTTGGGCGACATTTGAGTCGACTCACACAAACACTCATCCTTTAAGCGACATTTGAGTCGACTCACACAAACACTCATCTTTTGGGCGACATTTGAGTCGACTCACACAAACACTCATCCTTTGGGCGACATTTGAGTCGAATCACACAAACACTGATCATTTGGGCGACATTTGAGTCGACTCACACAAACACTCATCCTTTGGGCAACATTTGAGTCGACTCAGAAAAACACTCATCCTTTGGGCGACATTTGAGTCGACTCACACAAACACTCATCCTTTGGGCGACATTTGAGTCAACTCACACAAACACTCATCCTTTGGGCGACATTTGAGTCGACTCACACAAACACTCATCCTTTAAGCGACATTTGAGTCGACTAACACAAACACTCATCTTTTGGGCGACATTTGAGTCGACTCACACAAACACTCATCCTTTGGGCGACATTTGAGTCGAATCACACAAACACTAATCATTTGGGCGACATTTGAGTCGACTCACACAAATATTCATCCTTTGGGCAACATTTGAGTCGACTCAGAAAAACACTCATCCTTTGGGCGACATTTGAGTCGACTCACACAAACACTCATCCTTTGGGCGACATTTGAGTCAACTCACACAAACACTCATCCTTTGGGCGACATTTGAGTCGACTCACACAAGCACTCATCCTTTGGGCGACATTTGAGTCGACTCACACAAACACTGTCAAACATTGTATGTTTATATTGTGTAGGCTGTAGTGGGTTACACCTTAGGGGGTACACAAAGTTAGGGTTTCCTACTTGTACCAAACTCTGTGCTAGTTCATTCATTCCTGCTCAGTTATTTCTGACATGGTTTCAGAGCAGGTCCTTCGTTAGGACTGTTCTTAGGGCCCACCGACTTACCTACCTGCTTACCTTCGAATTTTTTTTTTTCCTAGCGGCCTCTCACGGCCCCCGTCGCGTCGCCCCTTAGCGCCCCGATCGGCCCCGTCACGCCGCCCGCGAACCGCACAGCGCGCCGCGCTCACAGCCCGCGAACCGCCCACGCGCAGCCCGCGAACCGCCTGCGCAGCCCGCGACCAGCCCGCGCAGCCCGCGCACAGCCCGCGAACTGCCCGCGAGCAGCCCGCGACCTGCCCGCGAACCCCCGCGAGCCGCCCGCGACCCGCTTACGCAGCCCGCGAGCAGCCCGCGCAGCCCGCGCTGAGCCTGCGCGGCTCTTGCGCTGACCGCCGCCGGCCCGCACGCTGCCCGCGCAGCGCACATACGGCCTGCACGGCCCGCGCGCTGCCTGCTCCCGGCCCGCCGCTGCTGAGCCCGCAGCCGCCCGCGCACCGCTGCTGCTGAGCCCGCCGCCGCCCGCGCACCGCCGCTGCTGCGCCCGCCGCCGCTCGCGTATCACCGCTGCTGAGCCCGCCCCTGCTGCGCCGGCTCTCGCTGCCGCCTGCTGCGCCTGTGCACCACTGCAGATCCTACTACTACACTTCCTGCTACTGCTGCTTGTGCGCCACTACAGTCCGTAGGCCCCACCGGCCCCGCTGACCCTGCGCACGCCTTTTCAGTGACTTTACTGCTTCTACTACTGCCGCTGTCGCTATGGCTAGTCCTCCTGTTCTAGCTTTCGACGCCGAGGGCCGTCCGGTCAAATTCGAAACCTGGCTAGATGACCTGCACCTTTTCCTACAGCTCACTGCCAAGGAAGATATTACACTGTACGACCACGCTCTCGGCCATGCGACCGCCCCACCCGCTACTGCCCCCCCAGCTGAGCGCTCACAGTGGCAGACCCGTGACGCGCACGCTCGCTTTGCTATTCGCAACTCCCTGCCGCTAGATGAGCGCGAGCACTTCGGCCAGTGCAAGACTGCTAAGGACCTCTACACAGCTGTAGTGGCCCGCTACTCCTCACCCGCTTCTGCCACTCTAGGCCGCCTCACTCTCCCCTACCTGTTCCCCGACCTAGCCTCCTTTCACACTGTCGCAGACCTCATCACCCACCTTAAGACTAGTGAGGCTCGCTTTCGCGCTGCCATGCCTGACGAGTTCCTCGCTAGCAACCCCCCCCCGCTCTGGATCACTCTCTACCACGTTGTCACCCGCCTCCCTGACTCTCTGCGCCCTGTCAGGGACCAGTTCCTCTCTCGCTCCCCCACTGAGCTCACCGTAGACCTCCTCGAGAAGGAACTGCTTGCAGCCGAGGCTAGTATCGTCGCTGTAGGCACCTCTCGTGGCGACCCCCGCGGCCCCTTCTTTGAGGGGTGCTCCCCTTCCCCCCTCCTCCCCTCTGTCGCCTCTGCTGCTGCTGTCGACCTCCTTGGTGCTGAGAAGGTCGGGGCTGCGTCTGCTTCAGGCGGACGACGCAGGGGCAGGAGTGGCAGGAGTGGGGGTGGTGGCGGAGGAGGCGGAGGTGGAGGTGGTGGCGGTGGAGGTGCGACTGGAGAGGCTAGTGGCGGCAGTGGTGGAGGTGACAGCGGCGTTGGGAGTGGTGACAGGGGCGGAGGTGGCAGCGGAGGCGGAGGTGGTCGTGGCAGCGGCAGGGGTGGAGGTGGCCGGGGCGGAGGCGGAGGGGGTGGTGGTCGTGGAGGCCCGGGGGGCGGTCAGAGTCAGCAGCCTGCCCCGACCCTTCAGGCCGCTCGTGAGTGGTATGCGCGGCGCAGCGTCACCTGCCAGTATGTTATTCGTACAGGTGACCGCACTGGCCAGACGTGTGGGGGGCCGCACCAGACGGAGCGCTGCTTCGCCCGCCTCAACGATGCGTGGCGCACCCAGTTTCCTGGTGGGGGTGAGCTGCCGCGCTGGGCTGAGCTGCTCAGGAAGGGTGTTGATATTTGGGCACTAGACTTTGATGCTATTCTCACTGCCATGTATGCGATGTCTATTAGTGGAGAGGGTGCTCAGTACTTGCGTGTTCCGCCCGACCCGGGCATTCAGGCCAGCCCCGCTGCTGCTCTAGGTGCTAGTGTGTCTGCTTCCACAGGTACTACTGCAGCTGCTGCTCTAGGTGCTTGTGCGTCTGTGCCCCCTGGTACTGAGTCGACTGCAGCACTGCACACCTTCACACTGGACTCAGGTGCTTCTCGCTCTTTCTTTCGTGACCGCACTGTCCTTGAGCCTCTAGCTCGGCCGGTTGCTGTCTCTCTTGCTGACCCCTCTGGGGGTCCGGTCCTTGCGACCTCCTCCACCACCCTTCCGTGTCCAGCGGTTCCGTCCGGCACGCTCTCAGGTCTCTACCTCCCCTCGTTCTCCACGAACTTGGTGGCAGGTAGTGCGCTCCAGGACGGGGGTGTTCACCAGTTCACCCCTGCCTACGAGCGTGTGACTCACTGCACGTGTGCTCGGACGGGCCGCCATCTAGCTACTTTCACTCGAGAGCCGGGGTCTGACCTGTACACACTGACCACTGAGTCCCCTCAGGTAGCTGCGTCTGCGTCAGCGTCAGGTCAGCTGTCCGCCCCCTGCTCGTGTCGCTCTCTGGCGAACGACACCGTCCTCTGGCACCACCGCCTTGGTCACCCGTCTGTGCAGCGCCTGCGGGCCATGCACAAACGGGACCTTGTTGCTGGTCTTCCCAGGGTGCTCCCTCCCCTTCCTGACTCCCCTGCTCCTGACTGCATTCCCTGTGTCGAGGGGCGGCAGCGCGCCGCTCCTCACTCCTCCTCCTTTCCCCCGACGACAGCTCCCCTGCAGACGCTCCACATGGACGTGTGGGGCCCAGCCCGCGTCCGTGGTCAGGGTCAGGAGAGATACTTCCTGATAGTTGTTGACGACTACTCGCGCTACACCACGGTCTTCCCCTTGCGCGCCAAGGGTGACGTCCCTGGTGTTTTGATCCCCTGGATCAGCCGAGCCCGTCTCCAGCTAGGCGAGCGCTTTCACTCGGACTTTCCTGTCCTGCGCTTGCACTCTGACAGAGGTGGTGAGTTTGCCTCCGACCTCTTGGCAGCCTACTGTGCTGAGCACGGCATTGAGCAGTCGTACACGCTTCCGGCCTCTCCACAGCAGAATGGGGTCGCTGAGCGCCGCATTGGCTTGGTCATGGAGGTCGCTCGTACCTCCCTGACCCATGCGGCTGCTCCCCACTTTCTGTGGCCGTTTGCGGTCCGGTACGCAGCGCATCAGCTCAACCTCTGGCCCCGTGTCTCCTTGCCGGAGACTTCCCCGACTCTACGGTGGACGGGAGAGGTTGGCGATGCGTCGCGTTTCCGGGTCTGGGGATCTCGAGCTTTTGTCCGCGATACGTCCGCGGACAAGCTCTCGCGTCGCGCTGTTCCCTGTGTCTTTCTTGGCTTTGTTCCCGACGCGCCTGGATGGCAGTTTTACCACGTCACCTCGCGCCGGGTTCTGGCCTCTCAGGACGTCACTTTTGACGAGTCCGTCCCCTTCTACCGCCTCTTCCCCTACCGCACTGCCCCGCTCCCCCCCCCGCCTCTCTTCCTCGCTCCAGGTGCTGAGGTACCAGACCCCCTCCCCCCTCAGGGTGCCGCTCCCTCAGGTGTGTCCCAGGTAGACCCGGGTGAGCCTGTCGAGGTAGCTGTTGACTCGCGTCCTGCGTCTGGGGGTGCTGAGCCTGGGAGTGCTGCGTCTGAGGGTGCGGAGCCTGGGGGTGCTGAGCCTGGAGGTGCGGAGCCTGGAGGTACGGAGCCTGGAGGTGCGGAGCCTGGAGGTACTGAGCCTGGGGGTGCTGAGCCTGGACGTGCTGAGACTGGGGGTGCTGAGTCTGGGGGTGCTGAGCCTGAGCGTGCTCCACCTGGAGGAGCCCTCTCCTCCCAGCAGCTGCAGGAGAGGTACCTCGAGTACTGCCGCCTCCGGAGAGGTGCTTCTGGAGCTCGTCCCGGTACTTCCCCTCCTACCCAGGAGCTCCCCCCCATTCAGGTGATCCGCGAGTGGTACACGCGGCGCTGCAGTCTTCGTAGTGGTGCTCCTGGTGCTGCGGACCCGAGCGGTGGTGCTGTTGCTGGTGCTGAGGACCCGGACGCTGGAGCTGCTGCTGGTGCTGAGGACCCGGGGGCTGGAGCTGCTGCTGGTGCTGAGGACCCGGGCGTTGGAGCTGCTGCTGGTGCTGAGGACCCGACCGGTGGCGCTGCTGCTGGTGCTGAGGACCTGACCAGTGGCCCTGCTGCTGGTGCTGAGGACCCGGGCGTTGGAGCTGCTGCTGGTGCTGAGGACCCGACCGGTGGCGCTGCTGCTGGTGCTGAGGACTCGGGCGTTGGAGCTCCTACTGGTGCTGAGGACCCGGGCGTTGGAGCTGCTGCTGGTGCTGAGGACTCGGGCGTTGGGGCTGCCACTGGTGTCCCTGCTGCTTCTGGAGACGCTGCGCGGCCGCGACCGTACTTCGTACCGCTCCTTCAGCAGGTTCTTGGTCAGGCTCCTCCTCCTAGTCCTCCTCCGTCAGTCGAGTGTCCTCTGCCTGTCCAGCCGCAGTCACAGTTACCGCCTGCCTCGCCTCTCCCTGCTCCCTCCCCTTACGCTGGTCCCACAGGAGGTCTTACAGAGCGTCGTGAGCCTGAGTCTCGTCCTGCGTCGCCTGTTCGTACTGCTCGCACTGGTCGTCGTGTCCCACGTGAGCGTCCTCCTCCTGTCCCTGGCACTCACTACATGACTCTGCGTCCCTCCACTGCTCCGCAGCGTGTCCCGCTGCCGTCTCCTCCTGCGTCCTCTCTTCCTACTCTTCCTGACCCGGAGTCTGACTCCCGTCGTGCTGCCAGTCCCACTGTTACGCGTCTCCTCGCTACAGTTGTCACTGACCCGACCTTTGAGTCCTCTGCTGCGTCTGCTCTGGTCGCTGAGTTGGTTGACTTTGCTGCTCGCTGTCGCCTAGACTACGCTGCCAGCCTTGTCGCTAGGTCTGAGTCTGCGTCTGCCTGTCCTCCGTCCGTCGGGGGTGAGTGTGCCCTCGGCACGGACGTCCTTGAGGACAGACAGGAGGAGTTCCACTGCCTTGCTGCTGCTTTGCCCCGTCTCGTGTCCTTGCTAGTTGCCCCTGAGGGAGACCCGGATGCACCAGACATCCCGACCCCACGCTCTTACGCTGAGGCGATGGCGGGTCCCTACTCCTCTCAGTGGCAGACAGCCATGGACGCAGAGATGGCCTCCTGGAAGTCCACAGGCACCTACGTAGACGAGGTTCCCCCTCCTGGGGCGAACATCGTCAGTGGCATGTGGATTTTCAGGGTGAAGCGGCCGCCGGGTTCTCCACCTGTCTTCAAGGCGCGCTACGTGGCTCGAGGCTTCAGTCAGCGAGAGGGAGTAGACTTCTTTCAGACCTTCTCCCCCACCCCGAAGATGACTACTCTTCGGGTGCTGCTGCACATAGCCGCTCACCGCGACTACGAGCTTCACTCTCTTGACTTCAGCACTGCTTTCTTGCAGGGCAGCCTGCACGAGGAGATCTGGCTGCGCCGCCCCCCTGGCTTCACTGGGTCAGTTCCTCCTGGCACCCAGTGGAGGCTTCAGCGGCCGGTCTACGGTCTCCGCCAGGCGCCACGTGAGTGGCACGACACACTGAGGACGACACTTGCGGCTCTTGGGTTCGCTCCCTCTACTGCTGACCCGTCGCTGTTTCTACGCACCGACACCTCGCTGCCGCCGTTCTACATCCTCGTGTACGTCGACGACTTGGTCTTTGCCACTGCTGACACCGCGGCACTCGCTCACGTGAAGTCGGAGCTGCAGAGGAGACACACGTGCACAGACCTGGGTGAGCTGACGAGCTATCTTGGCTTGCGGATCACCCGGGACAGAGCACGGCGCACCATCACCCTGACTCAGTCACACATGGTGCAGCAGGTTCTCCAGCGCTTCCGCTTCACGTACTCCTCGCCTCAGTCCACTCCTCTGCCTACCGGTCACTCGCTCTCAGCTCTGCCTTCGGATGAGTCCGTAGAGCCGAGTGGCCCGTATCCAGAGCTTGTGGGCTGCCTCATGTACCTGATGACCTGCACTCGACCTGACCTTGCATACCCTCTTAGCATCCTAGCACGCTATGTCGCTCCTGGCCGTCACCGGAAGGAGCACATGGATGCTGCTAAGAGGGTGTTGCGCTACTTGTGCAGTACGTCGGGCATGGGGCTTGTGCTTGGAGGGCGAGACCGGGTTGTTCTCACAGGGCACTCAGACGCTTCTTGGGCAGACGACCAGGCTACTCAGCGGTCGTCCCAGGGTTACACCTTCAGTCTTGGCTCTGGCTCAGTTTCTTGGCGTTCTACTCGCTCTTCTTCTGTTCTCAGCTCCAGTTGTGAGGCTGAGATCTACGCCACAGCCATGGCTGCTCAGGAGCTACGCTGGCTGACCTACCTGCTGACCGACCTCGGAGAGCGGCCTCGTTCTCCTCCAGTGCTGTACGTCGACAACAAGGCTGCCATTGCCTTGTGTGAGGAGCACAGACTGGAGCACAGAACGAAGCACATCGCTCTGCGGTACTTCCTTGCTCGAGAGCTGCAGCAGCGTGGTCAGCTTTGTCTGCGTTACGTGGCCACGGAGGCCAACACTGCTGATGTGTTCACCAAGGCGCTTCAGCCTTGTGACCATTAGCGCTTTTGCACTCTGCTAGGCCTTGTACCCACTGGGCCTCACTTGCTTACCTCTTGACCTTGCTTGTACTGTGATCACTATATATATATGCCTACTTGTTTACTTTTGCTAGGTTGTGATCACTGTATCTCTTGCTTTGTTATAAACCTGCATGTGAACTGGTCTTGGGACCGCTTGCTTGTGCTCGGAATTTGTGTGGAATCCTTGAGATCCACCCTGAGCTTGCTTTGCTTTGACTGGTCTTGTGACCCTGTGGTTGTCTCCCACTGCGCCTATGGGGGTGTGTCAAACATTGTATGTTTATATTGTGTAGGCTGTAGTGGGTTACACCTTAGGGGGTACACAAAGTTAGGGTTTCCTACTTGTACCAAACTCTGTGCTAGTTCATTCATTCCTGCTCAGTTATTTCTGACAAACACTCATCCTTTGGGTGATATTTGAGTCGACTCAGAAAACATTTCATCCCTTTGGCGACATTTCAGTCGACTCACACAAACACTCATCTTTTGGGCGACATTTGAGTCGACTCACATTTGAGTTGACTCACACAAACACTCATCCTTTGGGCGACATTTGAGTCGACTCACACAAACACTCATCCTTTGGGCGACATTTGAGTCGACTCACACAAACACTCATCCTTTGGGTGACATTTGAGTCGACTCACACAAACACTCATCCTTTGGGCGACATTTGAGTCGACTCACACAAACACTCATCCTTTGGGCGACATTTTTAGTCGACTCACACAAACACTTATCCTTTGGGCGACATTTGAGTCGACTCAGATAAACAGTCATCCTTTGGGCGACATTTGAGTCGACTCACACAAACAGTCATCCTTTGGGCGACATTTGAGTCGACTCACACAAACACTCATCCTTTTGTGCAACATTTGTGTCGACCCACACAAACACTCATCCTTTGGGCGACATTTGAGTCGACTCACACAAACACTCATCTTTTGGGCGACATTTGAGTCGACTCACACAAACACTCATCCTTTGGGCGACATTTGAGTCGACTCACACAAACACTCATCCTTTGGGCGACATCTGAGTCGACTCACACAAACACTCATCATTTGGGCGACATTTGAGTCGACTCACACAAACACTAATCCTTTGGGCGACATTTGAGTCGACTCACACAAACACTTATCCTTTGGGCGACATTTGAGTCGACTCAGAAAAACACTCATCCTTTGGGCGACATTTGAGTCGACTCACACAAACACTTATCCTTTGGGCGACATTTGAGTCGACTCACACGGCGACATTTGAGTCGACTCACACAAACACTCATCCTTTTGTGCAACATTTGTGTCGACCCACACAAACACTCATCCTTTGGGCGACATTTGAGTCGACTCACACAAACACTCATCCTTTGGGCGACATTTGAGTCGACTCACACAAACACTCATCCTTTGGGCGACATTTGAGTCGACTCACACAAACACTCATCCTTTGGGCGACATCTGAGTCGACTCACACAAACACTCATCCTTTGGGCGACATTTGAGTCGAATCACACAAACACTAATCCTTTGGGCGACATTTGAGTCGACTCACACAAACAGTCATCCTTTGGGCAACATTTGAGTCGACTAAGAAAAACACTAATCCTTTGGGCGACATTTGAGTCGACTCACACAAACACTCATCCTTTGGGCGACATTTGAGTCAACTCACACAAACACTCATCCTTTGGGCGACATTTGAGTCGACTCACACAAGCACTCATCCTTTGGGCGACATTTGAGTCGACTCACACAAACACTCATCCTTTGGGCGACATTTGAGTCGACTCAGAAAAAATTTCATCCCTTTGGCGACATTTGAGTCGACTCACACAAACACTCATCTTTTGGGCGACATTTGAGTCGACTCACACAAACACTCATCCTTTGGGCGACATTTGAGTCGACTCAGAAAAACACTCATCCTTTGGGCGACATTTGAGTCGACTCATGTAAACACTCATCCTTTGGGCGACATTTGAGTTGTCTTAGAAAAAAAACTCATTTATTGGGCGACATTTGAGTCGACTCACACAAACACTCATCCTTTGGGCGACATTTGAGTCAACTCACACAAACACTCATCCTTTGGGCGACATTTGAGTCGACTCACACAAACACTCATCCTTTGGGCGACATTTGAGTCGACTCACACAAACACTCATCCTTTGGACGACATTTGAGTCGACTCACACAAACACTCATCTTTTGGGCGACATTTGAGTCGACTCAGAAAAACACTCATCCTTTGGGCGACATTTGAGTCGACTCACACAAACACTCATCCTTTGGGCGACCTTTGAATCGACTCACACAAACACTCATCCTTTCGGCGCAAAACATTTTAGTCGACTCACACAAACATTCAATCTGACGCACTCATTTTCCCATGCATAGGGTGATTATGTCGCATATTTTTTCGTATGACGGCACATTTTGACGGTTTTGAGGGCGTCGAGCATTCGTTCGTGCACCAATCCAAGCCGGAATTGTCTTGGAAGGTGCGTCGGAAGATAGGCTACTCGGATTTGCAAAAAGAATCTGGTAGTCGCACGCATTTTCCCACGCATAGGGCAATAATGTCGCATTTTTCCCGTATGGCGGCAAATTTTGACGGTTTTGAGGGCGTCGAGCATTCGTTCGTGCACCAATCAAAGCCGGAATTGTCTTGGAAGGTGCATCGGAAGATAGGCTACTCGGATTTGCAAAAAGAATCTGGTAGTCGCACACATTTTCCCACGCATAGGGCGATTATGTCGCATTTTTTCCGTATGGCGGCAAATTTCGGTGGTTTTGGGGGCGTCGAGCATTCGTTCGTGCACCAATCCAAGCCGGAATTGTCTTGGAAGGTGCGTCGGAAGATAGGCTACTCGGATTTGCAAAAAGAATCTGGTAGTCGCACACATTTTCCCACGCATAGGGCGATTATGTCACATCTTTTTCGTATGGCGGCAAATTTTGGCGGTTTTGGGGGCGTCGAGCATTCGTTCGTGCACCAATCAAAGCCGGAATTGTCTTGGAAGGTGCGTCGGAAGATAGGCTACTCGGATTTGCAAAACGAATCTGGTAGTCGCACACATTTTCCCACGCATAGGGCGATTATGTCGCATTTTTTTCGTATGGCGGCAAATTTTGGCGGTTTTGGGGGCGTCGAGCATTCGTTCGTGCACCAATCAATGCCGGAGTTGTCTTGGAAGGTGCGTCGGAAGATAGGCTACTCGGATTTGCAAAAAGAATCTGGTAGTCGCATGCATTTTCCCACGCATAGGGCGATTATGTCGCATTTTTTTCGTATGGCGGCAAATTTTGGCGGTTTTGGGGGCGTCGAGCATTCGTTCGTGCACCAATCAAAGCCGGAATTGACTTGGATGGTGCGTTGGAAGATAGGCTATTCGGATTTGCAAAAAGAATCTGGTAGTCGCACTCATTTTCCCACGCATAGGGTGATTATGTCGCATTTTTTTCGTATGGCGGCAAATTTTGACGGTTTTGAGGGCGTCGAGCATTCGTTCGTGCACCAATCCAAGCCGGAATTGTCTTGGAAGGTGCGTCGGAAGATAGGCTACTCGGATTTGCAAAAAGAATCTGGTAGTCGCACTCATTTTCCCACGCATAGGGTGATTATGTCGCATTTTTTTCGTATGGCGGCAAATTTTGACGGTTTTGAGGGCGTCGAGCATTCGTTCGTGCACCAATCCAAGCCGGAATTGTCTTGGAAGGTGCGTCGGAAGATAGGCTACTCGGATTTGCAAAAAGAATCTGGTAGTCGCACACATTTTCCCACGCATAGGGTGATTATGTCGCATTTTTTTCGTATGGCGGCAAATTTTGACGGTTTTGAGGGCGTCGAGCATTCGTTCGTGCACCAATCCAAGCCGGAATTGTCTTGGAAGGTGCGTCGGAAGATAGGCTACTCGGATTTGCAAAAAGAATCTGGTAGTCGCACTCATTTTCCCACGCATAGGGTGATTATGTCGCATTTTTTTCGTATGGCGGCAAATTTTGACGGTTTTGAGGGCGTCGAGCATTCGTTCGTGCACCAATCCAAGCCGGAATTGTCTTGGAAGGTGCGTCGGAAGATAGGCTACTCGGATTTGCAAAAAGAATCTGGTAGTCGCATGCATTTTCCCACGCATAGGGCGATTATGTCGCATTTTTTTCGTATGGCGGCAAATTTTGGCGGTTTTGGGGGCGTCGAGCATTCGTTCGTGCACCAATCCAAGCCGGAATTGTCTTGGAAGGTGCGTCGGAAGATAGGCTACTCGGATTTGCAAAAAGAATCTGGTAGTCGCATGCATTTTCCCACGCATAGGGCGATTATGTCGCATTTTTTCCGTATGGCGGCAAATTTTGGCGGTTTTGAGGGCGTCGAGCATTCGTTCTTGAACCAATCAAAGCCGGAAGTGTCTTGGAAGGTGCGTCGGAAGATAGGCTACTCGGATTTGCAAAAAGAATCTGGTAGTCGCACACATTTTCCCACGCATAGGGCGATTATGTCGCATTTTTTTCGTATGGCGGCAAATTTTGGCGGTTTTGGGGGCGTCGAGCATTCGTTCGTGCACCAATCCAAGCCGGAATTGTCTTGGAAGGTGCGTCGGAAGATAGGCTACTCGGATTTGCAAAAAGAATCTGGTAGTCGCACACATTTTCCCACGCATAGGGCGATTATGTCGCATTTTTTTTCGTATGGCGGCAAATTTTGGCGGTTTTCCGGGCGGCGAGCATTCGTTCGTGCACCAATCCAAGCCGGAATTGTCTTGGAAGGTGCGTCGGAAGATAGGCTACTCGGATTTGCAAAAAGAATCTGGTAGTCGCATGCATTTTCCCACGCATAGGGCGATTATGTCGCATTTTTTTTCGTATGGCGGCAAATTTTGGCGGTTTTGAGGGCGTCGAGCATTCGTTCGTGCACCAATCCAAGCCGGAATTGTCTTGGAAGGTGCGTCGGAAGATAGGCTACTCGGATTTGCAAAAAGAA